ATCACCATCATCACCACCATCAGCATCTTCATCACCACCACCACCATCACGTCATCACCACTACTATATCACCATCATCACCACCACTGCCATCATCACCATCATCACCATCACCATCACCACCATCTTCACCACGATCACCAAAGCTGCCAGCTCTGGTTGTATGCTGCCCTCTGGCCTCCGGGCTTTGCCCTAACAGTTCCGGGAGGCAGATATTATCTCCAGTTAGGACACAAGGAAACTGAGGTGGAGGGCTAAGCGGATTCTCCAAGGTCCCAGTGCCACCGAGTGATAAGCCTGGGACAAGCCCACACCCATCACCAGAGCACTAGCTCCCGCCACAGGGCTGTCACCCTCCCAATGAACTCCTCCATGCTGGAGTTCAGCAAAATGCTGCAAGGTCAAAGGCAACTTTAGAGTCACAAAGATCCAACAGCTTGGTCTCATCTTGACCCCAGAAAGTAGGCTGGACAAGGTTTCCATATCTTCCTAGGTCAACCCCTTGTCTTCACGGTTAGAAAAATGACAGTGAAAGAAATACATCCCAAATAGGCTGGAGTACAGGGGTGTGATCACTGCTCACTGCAGCCTTGACCTCTGGAGCTCCAACAATCCTCCCACTTCAGCCTCCAGAGGAGCTGGGACCACAGATACACACCACACTCGGCAATTTTATTTTTTGCAGAGGCAGGGTCTTACTGCCCCTACCCCTGGAAGTTTTGTGGAAACAAATCAGCAAACCATTAGGCTCTATTTAGTCTCTGAGACTGCATCATTCCTCCTCAGCGCCCTCCTTCTCGAGGCTCGGTCCTCGGCCACCCTCCCTTCTCTCCGGAGGCAGATCCAATGGAGGGGCTTCAAGTCCCATCTTTCCACGCCGAGAGCTCCTGGCCCGGCCTCTCCCTGAGTTGCAGACCTGCACCCTGATGGCTGCTCAACACGTGCACCCGGGCATCTCACGCCACCCCAGGCCACGAGCCAAGCTCCTCGCCAGCCCCCATCTCCTCCCACCTCCAGTGGCTGAAAACCCAGAGGGTCAGCGGTGACTCCTCCACCCCTCACCTGCCACCACCCATGCCCCAGTGGTCCTCACCAGCAGCACCCACCCACTGTGGCCCTGCAGGGACGTCGGCGTTGGGATCACGACCCACTGTGGCCCTGCAGGGACGTCGGCGTTGGGATCACGACCCACTGGGGCCCCGCAGGGACATCGGCGTTGGGATCACGACCCACTGGGGCCCCACAGGGATGTCGGCATTGGGATCACGACCCACTGGGGCCCCGCAGGGACGTCAGCGTTGAGATCATGACCCACATATCACTCAGCACCCAAACTGAGTGGAACCTCCCGGAGGCAGCACTGCTGAGTTCAAGGCACATCTGGCCCTGCGTGGGGTTGGTGCTGCAAAATTGGTGGGAAGGGGCTTGCCAGTGACTCCCGGGGGAACAAGAGGCAAGCCTAGACCGAGTTCAGTCTCTTTGTGAGGAGAAAGAAATTTCTAGAAACCATCCAAGCATTCAACAACTCCTAGAATCAAGTTCTTCTCAAAAGACAACCTCAGAGTCCCCACCTCGGCATCCTGGCCCACAGGGGATGATTTCCAGACAGACCAAAACTGCAGCAG